AAATCTGCCAGGTTGGAAAATGTGGGCAAGTGTGATAGGAGACTGTAATGCTTGGACTGACTTTTGTGTTCTCTATTCATTCTCAATGTTGCTGAGAGAGAAGTGGCAGTCTGGGTTCCTTCAAACCAAATAGTCCCCTACTATAGAACTGTTTGCTCATTCCCCTAGACATGCTCCCCTACCCTGTTACTAAGGGGGAAAGTCCAGCCGACTTACTGCCTTCTGAGGGACACGACACATTCAGATCTCTGGTAACCTGCTCACTGTCACATCTATCCAAACTACCCATCCATCTTTGCCTGTAGACAGTGGAACTGTAGAACACTAAAGCCCAGGCTGGAGGCCTCTTCTGCCTGACAGGCTCTGGGGCCAGCAGCCTGGGTTATGAGAGGTTTCTGCTGCCTCTAAGATCCTTTCTAGAGTGTTTCTTGACAGGAAACTGATCTCTTGCTCATCTCTAGCCAGGTCCTGTCCTGCACTGGGTTGTCCTGTTCCATGTCTCAGTAAAAGAACAGCCATAGTCTATCTTCACTGTTTGTAGTAAGCAAGGGCCACGGCCTGTCTGCCCTTTTCTGTCTCTTGTGCTCCTCTCCTACTGGGGGCAGTATGTATGGTGGGATGAAGAAAAGGACTATTCCCAAGCAGGTTGAGAATCCTGTTGGTGGATGCAAAGCATCTGGGCCTCGCAGATGCCCATATCACACTCTGTCCATTCCCCCAGCCTTGTCCAAGGCCCCTTAGTTGAGAGTAATCTCTGGAGCTTAGTTGGGAGTCCATGTTGAGTGACAGTCTACAACTTCCACACCTCTCAGGAACTCTCACCACCATCTGGAAAGGAGACACATGCCTCAGTTCTGTGGGATTTATGAGTGGCAGATCCAGCCTGAAAGTGGCCAACACCATTCATTGGTTTGGGGCCTGAACTGCACAAGAGTAGAGAAAGCTGAGTCCTCAGCATGCATGCATTCCTTTCTCTCTGTTCTTGACTGTGGATGTGATGGGACTGGCTGTTTCACCTTCCTGCCTTGACTTACCTGCAGTGATGAGCTGTAACCTGGACTTGTGAGCAAAAATAAACCTTTCCTCCCCTAAGTTGCTTTTTGTCAGGGTGTTTTCATCACAGCAACAAAAATAAACCTAACACAAAACATGGTCTCTGGTGCTACAGTACAGGTGCAGGTTAGCTGCTGGGTCACTCCCTATGGACCACACTCAGAAAGGGTCACCACAGATACAAGGTCATCATGTGTCTCTGGGGAATAGGGTCCTCATGGATGAGGGTTGCAGAGGATGTAGTTAGTATATGTGTGTTAGGTCACTATCATCTGCATAGCAATTCAATGACATGGTTTCTGTGGTTGAGTGGCTGACTCTATGTGTAGAGGTATGCCTGTTGGGTGCCTCTGATGCAAGGCCTTGACTGACACCATTGCCCTAGAAGGGGCTCCCACATCCTAGGAGCTGCTCCAGGCACTCAACATATTTTCTCAAATCAGCAGACCTGCTCCTTAACCCTAGGTCACATTGAATTCTTCAGCTAGCAGCTGGCACCAAGTGCTGAGGAGCCCCAGGACTGGGGAGGCATCACACATCTCACAGGGTTGCAGACCTTTTCGTCTAACACAGTCTTCACAATACAGTTTTCTGTGCATGTGGAGGAAGTTGGTGTGGCCAGGCAGTCCCAGTCCTGTAGGCAGTGTCCAGAAAGTTTATGGCAGTTCTAGATTCCAGCTGACAACTGCTTGGGGAGACCCTGAAAGTTTGACTCCTGCTGTCCTGCACTGAGGAGAAAGGAGGACATGTAGTGGGTGTAGTTAGCCCATGTGTTATCCCTCAGGATTCCATTTTCCCCCAGGCCGGCCCTGTCACCAGCAATACAAGACAGAGAGACCAGAGGCTGGGAGAACTGGAGTGCCAGGTGGTTCCAGGCCTGGGATCCAGCTTACATGCTGTCTTACTTAGCACACCAGGGAGTACCAGCCAAGTTGGAGGACATGATGGTCCCATCAGCATGGCCCAATAGCTCTGGAAGCCCTGAGGCTCATCAGTAATCCTGCTGGCCCCCAAGTCCGTGCAGCAAGTGTAGAGATGCAAGCAAATTCATGCTATCATGCAAGGCTGCCACCAGGGGTGTTTGTGACTTGCAGACGAACTGACCTTGTTCACTTTGACAATATCTTCTCTGGGGTCATGGACTGCTAAACACAGCTGCCCTTGAATGCACGCTTCTGAACAATGCAGGACAGCAACATAGTCCACTCAAGAGTTAGTGAGCATCAAGCCAGAGGGAGTTTGTGGGTGTGCACATTGACAGTCCAGGAAGGTATCATTAGCCCTTGCTGCCAACTCTACCAGCTTCCTTCTCGTGGAACATCGTGCTCTGCTTCCAGGTGGGTTAGTCTTCTCAACCCTTCTCTCTCCTCACTCCCAGATGAAGAAAGCCAAAGCCCCAAACCCTAGGGCACAACACAGACTCACCAAGCCAAGGTAGAACCACCATCCTTGAAGGAAAACTTCAGCTTGGCCAGGCCCTCCATGGTAGGTCATGGTTCTCCTCTTTTTGGTCCCTGTATTGCTTTCTTCTCTCCTTGCTGTGCCAAAATACCTGATGGAAACAACTCAAAGAAGGAAAGGTTGGACTCACAAGTTGAGGGTACAGTCCATCATGGTGGGGAAGGCTTGGCAGCAGGAGTACGAAGCAACTGATGACATGTACCCACAGTCAGGAAGCAGAGGGAGACGAATGCTGCGGCTCAGCTTGTTTTCTCTGTTTTATTCAGTCTAGAATCCTAGCCCATGGAGTGGTGCACTCACATTCAAGATGGGTCGTCTCACTTCCATTAACCTAATCTAGAAACTCTCTCACAGACATGTGTGGGAGTTTGTTTCCATGACGATTCTAGATCCTATCAAGTTGACAGTCAAGATTAAGCATTACAGTCCCTTTGCTAGGGAGGATAGTGGTGGTCATAAGCAAAATATCAGAACAGTCCTGTGCTGGGCTCTTGCTGCCTTACTAGCACTGTGGACAGGAAGACTTGGGCACTTCCAGTACCCCTTTCTGTCTGTCCCCAGCCATTGTCAATTCAGGAGACTTGCTACCTCAGGCCTTGAAATTCAGGAAGCTGCCCTAGGAGACTGCCTTATAAGCCATGCTTACAGTGGGAGTCACACCCCAAGCCTTATTCATCCACCTTTGTGGTCAACCTCACATGCCCAGACCATGGCCTATACCATCCTCAAAGGAAAATTTGGAGAATGGGGCTGGCTCAACCAGCCACAGTCTTTTATCCGTGCTTGGTTGACACCTACACCAATGCTGAAAACACAGCTTCACCTGTACCTCTGTTTCTACAAATTTGAAGTTGATACATACTAAACTCCTTCATACCTTTTCATACTCAAACAGCATCAAGACACAAGGCATTTAGAGGAAAACATAAACATGTGCAAAATGCAAACACTCATGGGCATCACCATGGGCAGGAATGTGAAGCGTCTATCAAATATGCCAACCTGAACTCAAAGGCTAAAAATCTGCATAGAGAGGCCTACCTGGCAAAGACATCACCACTCCCTATGCTGTCACCTGTCTGCATGGCTGGACTGGCTGACCTAGCCAGCCACTGACCCAGGTTCTGAAGCTCTGAGTTTCTCTGATGACAGTCCTGCTTCTGGTTACTTCCCAATACCTAGGTGTCTTGGTTAGCTTTAACTGTCAACTTGACACGGCCAAAAGTCATCTGAGAAGTGAGTCTCAGTTGAGGAATTTCCTATATCAGACTGGCCTATAAGCCTGTCAGGGATTGTCTTGATTGTTAATTGGTATAGATGGCTTAGCCCTCTGTGGCTGATACCAGCCCTAGGCAGGTAGCCCTGAACCATGTAAGAAAGTTAGCTTAGTATAAGCTGGCCTGCAAGCTTGCTAGAAAGCAGCATCCTCCATGGTTCCTGCTGTGTAGTCTCTCTTGGCTGTGGAGTGAGTTCCTTGGTCAGGGGTAATGCTGTGTGGAATAGCAAGCAGTTTGCCTTCAACTCCCTTGAGTTCTAGTCTTGACTTCCTTAATGAAGGACTGTGATGTGGAATTCTAAGCTAAATAAACCCTCTCTTCCCCTAAGTTCCTTTTGGTCAGAGTGTTTTATCACAGTAGCAGAAAAACTAGAACACCAGATGTGCTCCATATGTTGGGAACACAGGCTCTAGTCTCTTTGCCCGCCTTCCATGCTTAAAGAACCACCAACCCACCATGGTTTGGCTCCTGCCACCTCCCATATTATGAAGCATAAGGCTCTCTGCCCAACTGTGTTCTCAGGCCAGTTCTACCTCAGACAAGCTCTAACTCAGATTGTCAGTGTGGCCTCAGAACTCACTCTCAGTCTTTTAAAAGTCCCATCCAAGGTGCACTCATTTCTACAGAGAGGAGAGTGTGATGGCATCCTGCCTCTGCCATGATACACCAAACTATTCACCTCATTCTCTGGGGGTTATCCTAGAACACAAACACCAAAGTGCATGGGCTCAACTCTAACACTATGCTTGAACCTCTTTGGGTTTAAGTCAGAGACAGGGATGCTGGTGCATGTCACAGGAACAATAGTGAGGATTCAGGTGTGAGTCACAGTCACCAGTGTGGCCAGGTCCTCAGAGGCTCACACACCAAAGACAGCCTCATTATGGGAGAATGACAGAACAGATAGTCCCAAGGGGCAGGAGATGCTGGGAGCACTAGTTGGCCACACTTGGTCGACTTCTCTGGTTTCTAGGCTTCCCTTGGAGACACAGGATGTGGACAAAGCCAGGGTCTTGCTCACGGAAAACCTGTCTTCTCACAGGAAGATTCCTCATTTAGGGGCATTAGCAGAGATGAGAGACCACAGACATGGCTTCACAGAAATGCTGGAGAGATGGAACAGATTCCTAGGCTGCCTCTCCCAGGGCCCAAGCCCTTCTCCTTCATGTTCAGGAATCTAAAGCTTTCCACGTCCTTTTCAACTTCTAGGCTTCCAAGTCTTCAGGGATGGCTACCACCATCTTCCCTGTGACTGAGCACCACAGAGGGGGTGGAGTAGTATCCTAGTTAGATTTCTATTGCTGTAATAAAATACTCTGACCAGCCTGGTGTGGTGGTGTATGTCTTTAATCCCAGTACTCTGGAGGCAGAGGCAGGCAAACCTTTGTGAGATTGGGGCCAGTCTGATCTACACAGTGAAGTTCCAGGCCAGTCAGGGCTATAAGGAGACCCTGTCTTAAAAAAAGCCACCAAAACAAAACAAAACATCCCAGTCAAAAACAACTTGGGGAGGAAAGGGTTTATTTCATCTTATTCTTCCAAGTGACAGTCTGTCACCGAGAGATGCCAAGGCAGGAACTTAAGCAGAACAGGAACCTGGAGGCAGGAACGGAAGCACAGACCATGGAAGAAGGTTGCTTACTAGCTTGCTCCTCTGACCTGTGCTCAGTCTGCCTTCCTATACAACCCAGGCCCACATGCCCAGAGGTGGCACCACCAACAGTGGGCTGGGCCCGCCCACATCCCTCAACAATTAAGAAAATGCCAGTCGTGGTGGTGCACGCCTTTAATCCCAGCATTCGGGAGGCAGAAGCAGGTGGATCTCTGTGAGTTCAAGGCCAGCCTGGTCTACATAGCGAGTTCCAGGACAGCTGGGGCTACCTACAGGGAGAGCCTGTCTCAAAAAAAGACAAAAAAAAAAGAAAAAGAAAAAAAAAAAAAGAAAATGCCTTACAGACATGGCCACAGGTCAAACCCATAGAGGAAATTCCTCAAATAAGGTTTCCTCTTCCCAAGTGTGTCAAGTTGACAACCAAGGCTACCTGGCACAAATAGCACGGGCAGTCTTTGGATACCCAAGGGCTCAGAGAGGACTCGGGGGGTCTCAGGAAAGGGAAGTCAAGGGAAGCATGAAGTTTGATGTCCTGTCCCTGTGGAACACATGACACTCAAAGGAGGGAGGACTAGGTTTGGCATTGCCAGTTACAGAGATGGAAAGCTCCCTGTCTCTCTCCAGGACAGGTAGAATGCTGAGCAGCACATACACAGGCATCTTCTGATGAGCACTTACTCCACAGGGATGAAACAGCCTCTGGCTTTCTCATTCTCCAGCACACATCAAGTAATGTTTCAAGGTTCAAGTTTCAGAGATTCAGACATGGTCCATGGTCCATGCTTCAGTTCCCATCTCCAGGTTCCTGCTCCTGCCTTGGCTTCTCTCAGTGACTGACTATCACTTGGAAGAGTAAGATACAGTAAACCCTTTCTTCCTCGAGTTGTTTTTTGTCAGAGTGTTTTGTTTTGTTTTTGTGGTTTTTTGAGCCCCAGATGGCCTGGAACTCATTACGTAGACCAGGCTGACCTGGATCTCATCCAGAAGAGGAGGAAAAGAAGGGTCAGGGGAGCTGAAAGATATTTGACAAGTTTTCACAAGTAGTGAGGGAGCCCTCAGGGAGTATGGTGGGCTGTCTGTGAGGTTCCCAAGAGAGTGTCCATTGAGGTAGAACTGAGACTTCAGGGTAACTGAACCCTATCTCTCCCTCTAGCTGGGAACACAGCATTACATCACACACATTTCCAGGGCCCAGGGCCTGCTATCTGGTACACTGCTGAGCTGGGCAATGGCAGCTCCCAAGGAAAGCCTTCCAATACAGGACACGTGTCTAATAAGCTAGGCACAGGCCTCAGCATCACTGAAGTCACAGGAGGTAGAGAGATAGTCTTATAAAGCAAGCACAAAACTCACATCAAAGAGAGACCAGACCAAATAGACAGGGATGGCTGAGAAGAAAGACAGGTGGTTATTGTGGGCTGTGAGGAGTCGTAAGGACTCAGAATAGCAGACCATCTTGACTGAGTACTTTCCTGCCCTCATCACTGCTTTGAATGCCAGGTCTGAACAGGTCCAGTGGTTGAGACCCATGTAATCCTCTCATATACATCAACAAACCCGAGGCACCTGAAGTCTGAGTGGGGAGAAAGTTTTCCAGAATTATCCATTCCAGACCTCAATTATGAGGTCTTGAGTGAGCCGTACTCACAAAGGCTAGAGAACAATCAGGTTGTAATGTGGCTGCCCACAAGGTGGAGGCCCTTAAAATCCACCACCATGAACTTTCATCCTGGGTTATTGGGGTGTGCAGTGCTTTGGCGCTGCTGGCGGGGTGAGGCTGCTTCTGCAGAGCTGGAGAGCCACACTGGGGTTTAAATTCTTGCAGCAGGATGGACATTCTTAAGTTAGAGATTCTTCTCAAGTGGAAGCTGGTGGAGGACAGGAAACTGTGGAGGAAAATAAAAAATATTTCAAGAGAAGTGAACTTGCAAAAAAAGAAGAGGAAGCATATTTTGAAAGCTGTGGTTATAAGATACAGCCAAAAGAGGAGGACCAGAAACCACTAACTTCATCAAATCCAGTACTAGAACTTGAACTAGCAGAAGAGAAACTACCCATGACTCTTTCTAGGCAAGAGGTTATCAGAAGATTGAGAGAAGGAGGAGAACCAATTAGATTATTTGGAGAAACTGATTATGACGCTTTCCAACGTTTATGAAAAATAGAAATTTTTACACCAGAAGTTAACAAGGGCTTGAGGAATGATCTCAAAGCAGCTTTGGATGAAATTGACCAGCGGTACCTGAATGAAATTATGGGTGGTCAGGAACCTGGAGAGGAGGACACACAGAATGACTTGAAAGTTCATGAAGAAAACACCACCACTGAAGAGTTAGAGGCACTGGGAGAGTCTCTAGGGAAGGGTGACAATCATAAGGATATGGACATCATCACCAAATTCCTGAAGTTTCTTCTTGGTGTTTGGGCTAAAGAATTGAATGCCAGAGAAGATTGTGTGAAGCGCAGTGTACAGGGCAAACTGAGCAGTGCTACTCTGAAGCAGACTGAGTCTTACCTCAGACCACTTTTCAGAAAGCTCTGGAAAAGGAATCTTCCTGCTGATAGTAAAGAATCAATAACAAATATTATTAAATTCATGTCACAGAGAGAATATGTAAAGGCAAATGATGCTTACCTTCAGATGGCCATTGGAAATGCTCCCTGGCCCATTGGGGTCACTATGGTTGGCATTCATGCCAGAACTGGCAGGGAAAAGATTTTTTCTAAACATGTTGCACATGTTTTAAATGACGAAACTCAGTGGAAATATATTCAGGGACTGAAGAGGTTAACGACAATTTGGCAGAAACACTTCCCTACAGATCCATCAAAATGTGTGAAGTATAATGCACTATGAGGTCTGCAGTGTGTACACAAGAAACTCAAGGAATAGCATATGGACTTCTGGCAGTACCAACAGGAATAAAGAGAAGAACACTGTATCTCTACCTGGTGCAATTCTTGATTGGTTTTTAAGAACTGTTAGCTTTCATATGGTATCTCACTGAAAACTGTCTTTTGTTTCTTGCTTTCATTTTAAGCCATTGAAAAATTAAATATGTTATCCACAATTTAAATGTGTAGACAACAACAGAAAGGGGTTTAAAATGACCCTTTCCCATGAGACACAAATGTGTTAGATAATTAGAAACATTTGAGGGTGAATTTAATCTTTATGTAAAATATAGTGATTTGCACATTTTCTTTTATGTGGTATAGAAAATATTTTTTATATTTCAACAAAAATATGGGACCATTGAATGAAACCTATAATTTTTAAATGTTTCTGGTCTTTTGCCATCTTGCAATAAAATATGAATATTAAAAAAATCTACCACCACAGACAGTCCTTACCCTTTTTGAGATAAGAAGCCTCTGAAGAACTCATGGAGCTTCAGCCCTTCTCCTCAGCCCACAGTAAGAGAGGAACATGAGAGATTGAGAGGCAGCAAAGGGCAAGCTGGCCATGACTCTGACTACCACAGTCCTTGTTTGTGGACTATGGCTTTCTTCCTACTGAGACATAGGTCAGACAACCCATTGCAGGCCAGCCAGGACCTGGACAGAGATCAACAATGCTTCCTGTCAAGAAATGCTCTACGGGGATCTGGAGAGATGACTCAGCAGTTAAGAGCACTGGCTGCTCCTGCAGAGGACCTGGGTTTGTTTCCCAGTACCCACATGGCAGCTAACAACCATCCATAACTTCAATCCCATGGGATTTGATGCCCTCTTCTGACCTCTGTGGACATTGAACAACACGGGTGCACTTACATACATGCACACAATACACTCATATACATAAAATAAGAATAATAAAATAAAATGCTCTACAGAGGATCTGAGAGGCAGTTAGAGCCCAGGCTGCTGGCTCTGGAGCCTGCCAAGGTTTCTCTCAGCTGCTCTCCAGCAGCAGAGTCCCCCAACCTGGGCTCTATCATTCCACCAATCCCTGGAGCCACTGTCAAGTACAATTTCTGCAGCTCCATTGCCTGTAGGCAAAGATGGAAGGGCAATCTGGGTGGAAGAGACACTGAAGAGATCATCACAGACTGGACCATGTCTCCTAGAAGCCAGTCATCAACTGGAAGCTTGTGCCTGTGCATCATGGTAGACATGAGGAACAGATAGTCTAGTAAAATGAGAAGTTATGTAGTAGGGAACCACCACTGATGTGAGGGAACCCAAACTATCACTTCTCTCTTGGCAGCTTCATGAATCAGCCAAGGACACAAGGGGCTGTATTTTCCTAACTCCATTGACCAACTAGCCTGGCAGATTTCCAGGAAATAAAGCTTAGGGGCCAACTGTTCTCTGATCTGACTAGTGTGGAAATGTCATCCATTCCTGATCAGTGACAGCATGGGGGCCATGGCCAGACTGCATTTATGGGAACCCTTCTCCCAGTCAGCCATCTCAAAGGACCAGGGAGAATATTGAAGTCATAGCTCCTCAGAAGTGAGGAGAGGAAAATTAGTTGGATTGTCACCATTGGTCAATAAGCTCCAGTAGGAAGAAATTCTTACGCACAGGTCACATCAGTGTCATAAAACCCACTTCTGATGCCACCTGCAATCAAAGCATTTCATAACCATCCTTGGACACAGAGTATCTATTCTAATGTCCCTTATTTTAAGGGGCAAA